CCGGCCCTGCCCGCCTCCCCCCTCTCTCTCTCGCAGATCAACTCCACGGTCAACCTCTCGGGGCTGCACCCCGTCAGCAGCTCGGACGACGTGAAGCCACCCTTGGGGATCCGAGCTGTCCCTTGTCACCCCCACGGCCCCGGCGTCGCCGGCAAACGCCTCTGCGCCATCTGCGGGGACCGCTCCTCAGGTACCCACCAGCCGGGGGGCCTCCATGGGGGGCACTGGGGCGTCTGGGTCTTCTGCAAGGTCTTTAGGAGAACATCTGGAGCTTTTGTGGATCCATCTGGGTCTTCCATGGGGCTCTCTGGGGTCACTGGGACATCTGGGTCTAGTGCAAGGTCTTTAGGAGAACAGCTGGAGCTTCTGTGGATCCATCTGGGTCTTCCACGGGGGGCACTGGGGCGTCTGGGTCTTCTGCAAAGTCTTTAGGAGAACATCTGGAGCTTCTGTGGATCCATCTGGGTCTTCCCACTGGGTCCTGGGGGGCACTGGGACATCTGGGTCTTCTGCAAGGTCTTTAGGAGAACATCTGGAGCTTCTGTGGATCCATCTGGGTCTTCCACTCGGTTCCTGGGGGGCACTGGGATATCTGGGTCTTCTGCAAGGTCTTTAGGAGAACATCTGGAGCTTTTGTGGATCCATCTGGGTCTTCCATGGGGCTCTCTGGGGTCACTGGGACATCTGGGTCTAGTGCAAGGTCTTTAGGAGAACAGCTGGAGCTTCTGTGGATCCATCTGGGTCTTCCACGGGGGGCACTGGGGCGTCTGGGTCTTCTGCAAAGTCTTTAGGAGAACATCTGGAGCTTCTGTGGATCCATCTGGGTCTTCCCACTGGGTCCTGGGGGGCACTGGGACATCTGGGTCTTCTGCAAGGTCTTTAGGAGAACATCTGGAGCTTCTGTGGATCCATCTGGGTCTTCCACTCGGTTCCTGGGGGGCACTGGGATATCTGGGTCTTCTGCAAGGTCTTTAGGAGAACAGCTGGAGCTTCTGTGGCTCCATCTGGGTCTTCCACTCGGTTCCAGGGGGGCACTGGGATATCTGGGTCTTCTGCGAAGTCTTTAGGAGAACAGCTGGAGCTTCTGTGGCTCCATCTGGGTCTTCCACTCGGTTCCAGGGGGGCACTGGGATATCTGGGTCTTCTGCGAAGTCTTTAGGAGAACAGCTGGAGCTTCTGTGGCTCCATCTGGGTCTTCCACTCGGTTCCAGGGGGGCACTGGGATATCTGGGTCTTCTGCGAAGTCTTTAGGAGAACATCTGGAGCATCTGTGGATCCATCTGGGTCTTCCACTGGGGTCTCTGGGGGGTATTGGGACATCTGGGTCTTCTGCGAAGTCTTTAGGAGAACATCTAGAGCTTCTGTGGATCCATCTGGGTCTTCCATGGGGCTCTCTGGGGTCACTGGGACATCTGGGTCTTCTGCAATGTCTTTAGGAGAACATCTGGAGCTTCTGTGGATCCATCTGGGTCTTCCATGGGGGGCACTAGGACATCTGGGTCTTCTGCGAGGTCTTTAGGAGAACATCTGGAGCTTCTGTGGATCCATCTGGGTCTTCCATGGGGGTCTCTGGGGGGCACTGGGACGTCTGGGTCTTCTGCAAAGTCTTTAGGAGAACATCTGGAGGTTCTGTGGATCCATCTGGGTCTTCCACTGGGTCCTTGAGGGGCACTGGGACATCTGGGTCTTCTGCAAGGTCTTTAGAAGAACATCTGGAGGTTCTGTGGATCCATCTGGGTCTTCCATGGGGGTCCCTGGGGGGCACTGGGACATCTGGGTCTTCTGCGAAGTCTTTAGGAGAACATCTGGAGCTTTTGTGGATCTATCTGGGTCTTCCATGGGGCTCTCTGGGGTCACTGGGACATCTGGGTCTCCTGCAAGGTCTTTAGAAGAACATCTGGAGCTTCTGTGGATTCATCTGGGTCTTCTATGGGGGTCTCTGGGGTCACTGGGACATCTGGATCTTCTGCAAGGTCTTTAGGAGAACATTTGGAGCTTCTGTGGATCCATGTGGGTCTTCCACTGGGGTCTCTGGGGTCACTGGGACATCTGGGTCTTCTGCAAGGTCTTTAGGAGAAAATTGGGAGCTTCTGTGGATCCATGGGGGTCTTCCACTGGGGGCTCTGGGGTCACTGGGACATCTGGATCTTCTGCAAGGTCTTTAGGAGAAAATTGGGAGCTTCTGTGGATCCATGGGGGTCTTCCACTGGGGGCTCTGGGGTCACTGGGACATCTGGATCTTCTGCAAGGTCTTTAGGAGAAAATTGGGAGCTTCTGTGGATCCATCTGGGTCTTCCCACTGGGTCCCTGGGGGGTATTGGGACATCTGGATCTTCTGCAAAGTGTTTAGGAGACCATCTTGAGCTTCTGTGGATCCATCTGGGTCTTCCACGGGGGGCACTGGGGCGTCTGGGTCTTCTGCGAAATCTTTAGGAGAACATTTGGAGCTTCTGCGGGTACATATGGGTCTTTCAGTGGGTCTGTGTGTGACATTGGGACACTTGGGTCCTCTGCAAGGTCCTTGTGGGGACATCTGGGGCTTCTGTGCATATATCTGGGTCTTCCGCTGGGTCCCTGGAGGGCACTGGGACAGTTGGGTCTTCTGCAAGATCTTTAGGGGAACATCTGGAGTTTCTGTGGTGGCCCTGTGGGTACATCTGGGTCTCCCACTGGGTCCCTGGAAGGCATCAGGCACTTGGGTCTTCTGCAAGGTCTGTAGAGGAACATCTGGAGCTTCTGTGGTGGCCCCTTGGGAACACTTGGGTCTTCCACTGTGTCCTTGTGTGACACTGGGACATCAGAGTCTTCTGCAAGGTCTTTAGAAGAACATTCGGAGCTTCTGTGCAGACATGTGGGTCTTCCATTGGCTCCTTGTGGGGACCTGGGATGCTTGGGTCTGCCACAGGGTCCTTGTGGGGACATCTGGGTCTTCTCTTGGGACATCTGGGTCTTCCACTGGGCCCTTGTGTGGCACTGGGACACTTGGGTCCTCTGCAAAGTCTTTAGGGGAACATCTGGAGCTTCTGTGGTTTCCCTATGGGGACATCTAGAGCTTCTGTGGGGACATGTGGGTCTTCCACTGGGTCCTTGTGTGACACTCGGACACTTGGGTTCTCTGTAAGGTCATTGTGGGGACATCTGAGTCTTCTGTGGGTCCATCTGGGTCCTCCACTGGGTTCCTGGGGGGCACTGGAACAGTTGGGTCTTCTGCAAGGTCTTTAGGAGAACATCTGGAGCTTCTGTGGTGTGGCCCTGTGGGGACAACTGGAGGTTCCACTGAGACCCTGTGTGACACTGAGACACTTGGGTCATCTGTAAGGTCTTTGTGGAAACATCTGGGTTCCTCTGTGGGTTGCGATGGGGTGTATGGGGACAGCTCGGTTCCTTTGGAGATGGAGACACCTTGGTCCTCCCCATGGTGGGACATGGGATGGGGACACGTTGGTGCTCTCTGGGGTGGAATATGGAGACACCTGGTTCTTTTTTGGGGTGGGATATGGGGACATCCTGGTCCTCCCTGTGATGGGGGCACCTTGGTCCATTTTGGGATGGGGTATGGGGACACCTTGGTTTTCTCTGGAGTGGGGTATAGGGATGCCTTGGTCATCCTTGTGGTGGGACACAGGTGATGAGGACACCTTGGTCCTTTTTGGGATGGGGTATGGGGACACCTTAGTGTTCTCTGGAACGGGACATGGGGACACCTTGGTCTTCCTTGTGGTGGGACACAGGTGATGGGGACACCTTGGTCCTTTTTGGGATGGGGTATGGGGACATCTTGGTCCTCCCTGGGGTGGGATATGGGGACATCTTGGTGCGTTCTGGGGTGGGACATAGGATAAGGACATCTTGGTCGTTTTTGGGATGGGGTATGGGGACACCTTCGTGCACTCTGGGGTGGGACATGAGATGGAGACACCTTGGTCCTTTTTGGGATGGGGTACGGGGACATTTTGGTCTTCGCTGGGGTGAGACGTGGACACCATGGTCCTTTTTGGGATGGGGTATGGGGACATTTTGGTCTTCGCTGGGGTGAGACGTGGACACCATGGTCCTTTTTGGGATGGGGTATGGGGACATTTTGGTCTTCGCTGGGGTGAGACGTGGACACCATGGTCCTTTTTGGGATGGGGTATGGGGACATTTTGGTCTTCGCTGGGGTGAGACGTGGACACCATGGTCCTTTTTGGGATGGGGTATGGGGACATTTTGGTCTTCGCTGGGGTGAGACGTGGACACCATGGTCCTTTTTGGGATGGGGTATGGGGACATTTTGGTCTTCGCTGGGGTGAGACGTGGACACCATGGTCCTTTTTGGGATGGGGTATGGGGACATTTTGGTCTTCGCTGGGGTGAGACGTGGACACCATGGTCCTTTTTGGGATGGGGTATGGGGACATTTTGGTCTTCGCTGGGGTGGGACGTGGACACCATGGTCCTTTTTGGGATGGGGTATGAGAACACCTTGGTCTTCTCTGAGGTGGGACTTGGGGGCATGTGAGTTCTCCCTGTGGTGGGACACAGGTGATGGGAACACCTTGGTCCTTTTTGGGATGGGGGACGGGGACATTTTGGTCTTCGCTGGGGTGAGACGTGGACACCATGGTCCTTTTTGGGGTGGGGTATGAGAACACCTTGGTCTTCTCTGAGGTGGGACTTGGGGGCATGTGAGTTCTCCCTGTGGTGGGACACAGGTGATGGGAACACCTTGGTCCTTTTTGGGATGGGGGACGGGGACATTTTGGTCTTCGCTGGGGTGAGACGTGGACACCATGGTCCTTTTTGGGGTGGGGTATGAGAACACCTTGGTCTTCTCTGAGGTGGGACTTGGGGGCATGTGAGTTCTCCCTGTGGTGGGACACAGGTGATGGGAACACCTTGGTCCTTTTTGGGATGGGGGACGGGGACATTTTGGTCTTCGCTGGGGTGAGACGTGGACACCATGGTCCTTTTTGGGGTGGGGTATGAGAACACCTTGGTCTTCTCTGAGGTGGGACTTGGGGGCATGTGAGTTCTCCCTGTGGTGGGACACAGGTGATGGGAACACCTTGGTCCTTTTTGGGATGGGGGACGGGGACATTTTGGTCTTCGCTGGGGTGAGACGTGGACACCATGGTCCTTTTTGGGGTGGGGTATGAGAACACCTTGGTCTTCTCTGAGGTGGGACTTGGGGGCATGTGAGTTCTCCCTGTGGTGGGACACAGGTGATGGGAACACCTTGGTCCTTTTTGGGATGGGGGACGGGGACATTTTGGTCTTCGCTGGGGTGAGACGTGGACACCATGGTCCTTTTTGGGGTGGGGTATGAGAACACCTTGGTCTTCTCTGAGGTGGGACTTGGGGGCATGTGAGTTCTCCCTGTGGTGGGACACAGGTGATGGGAACACCTTGGTCCTTTTTGGGATGGGGGACGGGGACATTTTGGTCTTCGCTGGGGTGAGACGTGGACACCATGGTCCTTTTTGGGGTGGGGTATGAGAACACCTTGGTCTTCTCTGAGGTGGGACTTGGGGGCATGTGAGTTCTCCCTGTGGTGGGACACAGGTGATGGGAACACCTTGGTCCTTTTTGGGATGGGGGACGGGGACATTTTGGTCTTCGCTGGGGTGAGACGTGGACACCATGGTCCTTTTTGGGGTGGGGTATGAGAACACCTTGGTCTTCTCTGAGGTGGGACTTGGGGGCATGTGAGTTCTCCCTGTGGTGGGACACAGGTGATGGGAACACCTTGGTCCTTTTTGGGATGGGGGACGGGGACATTTTGGTCTTCGCTGGGGTGAGACGTGGACACCATGGTCCTTTTTGGGGTGGGGTATGAGAACACCTTGGTCTTCTCTGAGGTGGGACTTGGGGGCATGTGAGTTCTCCCTGTGGTGGGACACAGGTGATGGGAACACCTTGGTCCTTTTTGGGATGGGGGACGGGGACATTTTGGTCTTCGCTGGGGTGAGACGTGGACACCATGGTCCTTTTTGGGGTGGGGTATGAGAACACCTTGGTCTTCTCTGAGGTGGGACTTGGGGGCATGTGAGTTCTCCCTGTGGTGGGACACAGGTGATGGGAACACCTTGGTCCTTTTTGGGATGGGGGACGGGGACATTTTGGTCTTCGCTGGGGTGAGACGTGGACACCATGGTCCTTTTTGGGGTGGGGTATGAGAACACCTTGGTCTTCTCTGAGGTGGGACTTGGGGGCATGTGAGTTCTCCCTGTGGTGGGACACAGGTGATGGGAACACCTTGGTCCTTTTTGGGATGGGGGACGGGGACATTTTGGTCTTCGCTGGGGTGAGACGTGGACACCATGGTCCTTTTTGGGGTGGGGTATGAGAACACCTTGGTCTTCTCTGAGGTGGGACTTGGGGGCATGTGAGTTCTCCCTGTGGTGGGACACAGGTGATGGGGACACCATGGTCCTCCTTGTGGTGGGACACAGGTGATGGGAACACCTTGGTCCTTTTTGGGATGGGGTATGAGAACACCTTGGTCTTCTCTGCAGTGGGACATGGGGGTATGTGACTTCTCCCTGTGGTGGGACGTGGGATGGGGACACCATGGTCCTTTTTGGGGTGGGACAGAGGAGTCGAAGCCACCTTGGTCTTCCCATGGTGGAATACAAAGGATGGGGCCACCTTGTAGCTCCTCAAGATGAAGCCCAGATGATGGTGCCACCTCCATGGGGCAGCACACTCAACTCCTCCCACCATGAGGAGAACTTGGGCGTCCTACAGGTTGGGGGGGGTGGAATCCCACCGCTGACCCCCCCTCGGTTCCCCGCAGGGAAGCATTATGGGGTGTACAGCTGCGAGGGCTGCAAAGGTTTCTTCAAACGCACCATCCGGAAGGACCTGACCTACACCTGCCGGGACAACAAGGACTGTGTGGTTGACAAACGTCAACGCAACCGTTGCCAGTACTGCCGCTACCAGAAGTGCCTGGCCACCGGCATGAAACGGGAAGGTAACTGGGAGCACTGGGAGCGTGGAGAAACCCCATGGACTTCTAGATCTTCACCCTCATGTCCGTGCCCCACAGCCGTGCAGGAGGAACGGCAGAGAGGGAAGGAGAAGGAAGGAGACGGGGACCTGGGGGCCAACGCCAACGAGGAGATGCCGGTGGAGAAGATCTTGGAGGCGGAGCTGGCGGTGGAGCAGAAATCGGACCAAAGCGTGGACGGCGCCGGCGGCGGGGGCAGCTCGGTGAGTCCTTCTAGAAGAAGAAGGTGGGGGGTGGAGAAAGGAATTGGGAAAGAAAAGAGGAGTCCTCGAGGGGGGGCTCCGGGCCACCTCGCTGACCCCTCGATGTGTCCGTCGTCCCCCCCCCCAACTCCTCCCCCTACTCATCAGCCCAATGACCCGGTGACCAACATCTGCCAGGCCGCCGACAAGCAGCTCTTCACCCTGGTGGAGTGGGCCAAGAGGATCCCCCATTTCTCCGAGCTGCCCCTGGACGACCAAGTCATCCTGCTGCGGGCGGGTGAGGAGGATTTTGGGGGGTGGGGTGGGGGTCTGCCCCACGGCCAAGTGGGGAGGGGACATCTAGATGGGTCTCCTGCCCCATTCGTGGTCTCCTGGATCAGGGTTGAGGGTCTTCTGAAGGGGGTGGGTGACCTGAGGAGATGGTGCCCAGGGTGAGGGTGAGGAGGATTTTGGGGGGTGGGGGGCAGGTCTGCCCCACGGCGAAGTGGGGAGGGGGACATCTAGATGTTGGGAGAGAGGTCTCCTGCCCCATTCGTGGTCTCCTGCCCCATTCGTGGTCTCCTGGATCAGGGTTGAGGGTCTTCTGAAGGGCGTGGGTGACCTGAGGAGATGGTGCCCAGGGTGAGGGTGAGGAGGATTTTGGGGAGTGGGGGGCAGGTCTGCCCCACGGCGAAGTGGGGAGGGGGACATCTAGATGTTGGGAGGGGTCTCCTGCCCCATTCATGGTCTCCTGCCCCATTCGTGGTCTCCTGGGTCAGGGTTGAGGGTCTTCTGAAGGGGTGGGTGATCTGAGGAGGTGGTGCCCGGGGTGTATCTGCCCCCATGGAGGGTTCTTTTTTTGGGGAGGGGGCACAGGAGGGAATTTGCCCCCCCCCAGGAGGATTTTGGGGAGCCCCAAGGGGGGACATGTCGTGCAGAGGGGGTGTCTGCCCCACAGAGGGGGTGTTTGGGGGGCTGGAGGAGAGGACCTGCCCCACAGAAGGAGCTTTTGCCCCATGGGGGGGTTCTGGGGGGGGCACAGGAGGGATTTTGAGCCCCCCAGGAGGATTTTGGGGAGCCCCAAGGGGGACGTGTCCTGCAGAGGGGGTGTCTGCCCCACGGAGGGGGTGTTTGGGGGGCTGGAGGAGAGGACCTGCCCCACAGAAGGAGCTTTTGCCCCATGGGGGGGTTCTGGGGGGGGCACAGGAGGGATTTTGAGCCCCCCAGGAGGATTTTGGGGAGCCCCAAGGGGGACGTGTCCTGCAGAGGGGGTGTCTGCCCCACGGAGGGGGTGTTTGGGGGGCTGGAGGAGAGGACCTGCCCCACAGAAGGAGCTTTTGCCCCATGGAGGGAGTTTTTGGGGGGCTGCAGGAGGGTTAGGAGGATTTTGGGGGGTGGGGGGCAGGTCTGCCCCACGGCCAAGTGGGGAGGGGGACATCTAGATGGGTCTCCTGCCCCATTCGTGGTCTCCTGGGTCAGGGTTGAGGGTCTTCTGAAGGGGGTGGGTGACCTGAGGAGATGGTGCCCAGGGTGAGGGTGAGGAGGATTTTGGGGGGTGGGGGGCAGGTCTGCCCCACGGCCAAGTGGGGAGGGGGACATCTAGATGTTGGGGGAGAGGTCTCCTGCCCCATTCGTGGTCTCCTGGGTCAGGGTTGAGGGTCTTCTGAAGGGCGTGGGCGACCTGAGGAGATGGTGCCCAGGGCGAGGGTGAGGAGGATTTTGGGGGGGGGGGGCAGGTCTGCCCCACGGCGAAGTGGGGAGGGGGACATCTAGATGTTGGGGGAGAGGTCTCCTGCCCCATTCGTGGTCTCCTGGGTCAGGGTTGAGGGTCTTCTGAAGGGCGTGGGCGACCTGAGGAGATGGTGCCCAGGGCGAGGGTGAGGAGGATTTTGGGGAGCCCCAAGGGGGACGTGTCCTGCAGAGGGGGTGTCTGCCCCACGGCATCTAGATGTTGGGAGGGGTCTCCTGCCCCATTCATGGTCTCCTGCCCCATTCGTGGTCTCCTGGGTCAGGGTTGAGGGTCTTCTGAAGGGGTGGGTGATCTGAGGAGGTGGTGCCCGGGGTGTATCTGCCCCCATGGAGGGTTCTTTTTTTGGGGAGGGGGCACAGGAGGGAATTTGCCCCCCCCCAGGAGGATTTTGGGGAGCCCCAAGGGGGGACATGTCGTGCAGAGGGGGTGTCTGCCCCACAGAGGGGGTGTTTGGGGGGCTGGAGGAGAGGACCTGCCCCACAGAAGGAGCTTTTGCCCCATGGGGGGGTTCTGGGGGGGGCACAGGAGGGATTTTGAGCCCCCCAGGAGGATTTTGGGGAGCCCCAAGGGGGGACATGTCGTGCAGAGGGGGAGTCTGCCCCACAGAGGGGGTGTTTGGGGGGCTGGAGGAGAGGACCTGCCCCACAGAAGGAGCTTTTGCCCCATGGGGGGGTTCTGGGGGGGGCACAGGAGGGATTTTGAGCCCCCCAGGAGGATTTTGGGGAGCCCCAAGGGGGGACATGTCGTGCAGAGGGGGAGTCTGCCCCACAGAGGGGGTGTTTGGGGGGCTGGAGGAGAGGACCTGCCCCACAGAAGGAGCTTTTGCCCCATGGGGGGGTTCTGGGGGGGGCACAGGAGGGATTTTGAGCCCCCCAGGAGGATTTTGGGGAGCCCCAAGGGGGACGTGTCCTGCAGAGGGGGTGTCTGCCCCACGGAGGGGGTGTTTGGGGGGCTGGAGGAGAGGACCTGCCCCACAGAAGGAGCTTTTGCCCCATGGAGGGAGTTTTTGGGGGGCTGCAGGAGGGTTATTTTTTGGGGAGGGGGCACAGGAGGGAATTTGCCCCCCCCCAGGAGGATTTTGGGGAGCCCCAAGGGGGACATGTCCTGCAGAGAGGGTGTTTGGGGGGCCATAGGAGGAGACTTGCCCCATGGAGGGGGCGTTTGGGGGCTGCAGGAGAAGATGGCAGGTCTGCCCCACGGCGAAGTGGGGAGGGGGACATCTAGATGTTGGGAGGGGTCTCCTGCCCCATTCATGGTCTCCTGCCCCATTCGTGGTCTCCTGGGTCAGGGTTGAGGGTCTTCTGAAGGGGTGGGTGATCTGAGGAGGTGGTGCCCGGGGTGTATCTGCCCCCATGGAGGGTTCTTTTTTTGGGGAGGGGGCACAGGAGGGAATTTGCCCCCCCCCAGGAGGATTTTGGGGAGCCCCAAGGGGGGACATGTCGTGCAGAGGGGGTGTCTGCCCCACAGAGGGGGTGTTTGGGGGGCTGGAGGAGAGGACCTGCCCCACAGAAGGAGCTTTTGCCCCATGGGGGGGTTCTGGGGGGGGCACAGGAGGGATTTTGAGCCCCCCAGGAGGATTTTGGGGAGCCCCAAGGGGGACGTGTCCTGCAGAGGGGGTGTCTGCCCCACGGAGGGGGTGTTTGGGGGGCTGGAGGAGAGGACCTGCCCCACAGAAGGAGCTTTTGCCCCATGGAGGGAGTTTTTGGGGGGCTGCAGGAGGGTTATTTTTTGGGGAGGGGGCACAGGAGGGAATTTGCCCCCCCCCAGGAGGATTTTGGGGAGCCCCAAGGGGGGACATGTCGTGCAGAGGGGGTGTCTGCCCCTCAG